ATTGCGAAGGGGAAGTCTGCCTTCCGAGATCGTATATGGAAGTTGACCAGTAGACATATAAAACTTGACCAGACGACATAAAGTTGACCAGTAGACATATAAAACTTGACCAGACGACATATAAAACTTGACCAGACGACATAAAGTTGACCAGTAGACATATAAAACTTGACCAGACGACATAAAGTTGACCAAACGACATATAAAACTTGACCAAACGACATAAAGTTGACCAGACGACATAAAGTTGACCAGTAGACATAAAAAACTTGACCAAACGACATAAAGTTGACCAGAAGACATACAATGGATTAAGAAATCGAACAGTATGTTAAATCAGTGTTGTTATTGAATCGTCACTTGTCAGATATGTCGTCATCGTTATTCGCTTGGTATTGTATTCGCTTGTTATAATGGACCGCTTTGTCAAACCGGCTGGACCTTCGTCTAGCAAACGCTCGAAACAGGCTAAACAGGGCAATGTAACAGCTTCCACGAGAGTGGCTGAATTTGGCAAATCATCGTTTTATGCTGACAATGGGAAGCTATTTTGTAGAGCATGTAATCTCGTCGTAGACCACATAAGAAACAATCATGGGCTTCCCTCGGGATGTGGTTGGAATTTCTAGAAGGTTCGTGCAGGGGGCCGGGGTAAGGATGTCGTCCAGGTTGATGTAAGCTTCAAGGGGTAAAGGTTGGATACTAGATGGGGATAGACTAGGTAGGGATATGGGAATTGGGTTGAAAAGTTCGTAGTATTCCATTGCTATAGTTGTGAAGTGTAGATGGTCGTTCATGATCAATGATGATGTCTCCTGTCGTCTGTTGAAAGTTATATAGTATCGATAACGAGATATGTCATACAGTACGTATGACATTGCAACATTTGAGATCATGTCAAAAGTTATGGCAGCTCTTGTTGTTATGGATCCCCATCAGCCTGTATCAGATCATATAATGAGATCACATCCTCAAGGGACATGAGCCGATCAAATAGAATAGTCAAATAATATGTGAACTCTAACTAAGCACTGTAAATACATTATTTTTTGCCGCGAATTCGTCGCGATTTTTCGATTGTTTGCCGCGATTTTAGAAATTCCCGCCGCGAATTAGCCTAGTTTGGCTTGTCGCGGTGCCGCGATTTTTGGCCAAAATAACCGCGAAATCCTTTTGTCCCTGCCCGGCGCGCGTTACTTCGTAGCACTTGCCATCATTTCGAGAAGAAAGCGGCGCGCGCTACTTCGAAGAAATTTAGACGAGTAACATCCGTCAAGGTTGTCAGTCATGTATTTATGTTTATCGTCACTAATTTAACAAGAATTTTTAGCGCTATCAATTGTCAGTGCACAGTGACGGAACAGTACACAGCGCCGGTTTTTAGTGAGCGCGGGTTTTTATTTTAGACCGATTGGTGTATTTTTGTTCGTTGACCCTTCGAGAAGCAAGAATGATATGTGATAGTTTGCGCGGCGCGTCGAAATCCTCCAATTTTGTTCGATAACTAGCTTTGGCCAGAACTGCGTATAAGATTTAGTTTTACTATTTTAAATATTGAGATTGTTTCATATTGGAGGACTTCGCCGCTTCGACGCGCCGCGCAAACTAGCATTCTTGCTTCGCAAGAAGCAACGATCTGGAATGGTTGACATCGTCAATCAAGTTTCATACTATGCTGTAATCTTCCGAGTGGAGTTGTACCCCATTGGATTTAGATTTTATTTGATTAAATTTTGTTTTTGTCACAATTTTCAGGGTTGGGTTAATAAATTATGACGATTATATGAATTTTGCTTGATAAAGTTGTAGTTTATTTACGAAGGATCCCTTCGTGTCCAAATGCAACATAAAACTGAACTTACTACTATAGTACTATGTAATTAACGTGTGATACCCGTAAATTTGTTTCCGGTTTCAAATATTTTGAGTACAGTTGGGGGGGGGGGGGGGTCCAACCCGATCAATTCCGATCATTCCGATCCCGATTTTGGCCTCATCAACCCTCATATCGGAAAAATCGGGAAAATTTAAATCTTCCCTCTGAGGTTTCTAGGCGATATAGGTAGCTATTTCTGTACTTAAATATGACAAGAAATCGATTGGTGGGTGTCCCAGAACCCAAAATGGTTTCTTGTTCCAAACAAGAATCGTTTCGTCCGAAAAACAACACACTGTCGTATCAACTCTTGTTTGACAGAAACATCCACCCCGGTCCACAATTGAAAGTGGTACGGTTGGTAATAACAGTCGTAACAAATAGCGAACGCTTTAGTAACTTTTGATTTAAATTGTCTCCAAAATTTGTAACAGGCTATCTGCAGAAATGGGTAGCACGGTTAATGACCATGGTCCTTTCTCAAACTTCCAATCCTCAGTTAGATACAAAGAATAGTCTACACAATTTTTAATAACATTAAAAGGGATGAAGTGTATCAAAATCTTTATTTATCATGTAACAACTTTTCCATAGTACTGGAGAGTAAAACTCTGTTAAACAAAAAAATTCTCGAGCACATTTTGAGTCAGTAACAGTAACATGTCAATATGTTACAGACTCAAATGCGTTTAAAAACATTTTAGTAACAATAAATTGTGTAAACTGATGAGGGGGAAGAGGAGGACTGAAAAAGAGGAGGACTGAGGAGGAGGAGGAGGAGAAGGAGGAAGACTGAGGAGGAGGAGGACTGGGGAGGACTGAGGAGGAGGAGAAGGACCGAGGGGACTGAGGAGGAGGAGGAGGAGGACTGATGAGGAGGAGGACTGAAGAGGAGAGGGAGGACTGAGGAAGAGGAGCAGGATTGGTGAGGAGGAGGAGGAGGAAGAGGAGGACTGAGGACGGGGAGGAGGATAACTAAGAGGAAGCGAGGGCTAAGGACGAGGAGAACTGAGGACGAGGACGAGAGCGAAGACGAGGACCGAGGAGGACTGATAAGAAGGAGAAGGAGGAGGAGGAGGAGGAGGACTGAGGATGAGGAGAAGGAGGAGAAGGAGGAATGAGGAAGAGGAGGAGGACTGACGAGGAGGAGAAGGACTGAGGAGGAGGAGGAGGATGAGGAGGAGGAGGAGGAGGAGGAGGAGGACTGACGAGTAAGAGGAGGACTGAGGAGGATGAGGATGAGGACTGAGGAAGATGACTGAGGAGGATGAGGATGAGGACTGAGGAAGATGACTGAGGATGAGGAGGACTAAGGAGGAGGATGAGGAGGAGGAGGCTAAGGAGGACTGATGAGGAGGAGAAGGAGGAGGAGGACTGAGGAGGAAGACTGAGGAGGATGAGGACGAGGACTAAGGACGAGGACTAGGAGGATGATAACGAGGGCTAAGGAAGAGGACTGATTAGGAGGAGAAGGAGGAGAAGGAGGAGGAGGACTTAGGAGGAGGAGGATAAGGATGAGAATGAGGAGGAGGAGGAGGAGGAGGAGGAGGAGGACTGAGGAGGAGGAGGATAAGGAGGAGATTGAGGAGGAGGAGGAGGATGTTGACTCAGGAGGAGGACTGAGGAGGTAGAGGAGGATGAGGAGGAGGAATGAGGAGGAGGAATGAAGAGGAGGAGGAGGACTGATGAGGAGGAGTACTCCAGAGGAGGAGGACTCAGGAGGAGGAAGAGGAGGAGGAGGAGGAGGACTAAGGACGAGGACGACTAGTGGAGGACTGAGGATGAGGACTGATTAGGATCGATAGGAGAAGAAGGAGGAGGACTTAGGAGTAGGAGAAGGAGGAGGAGGACTGTTGAGGAGGAGGAGGATGATGAGGAGGAAGACTGAGGAGGACGAGGACGAGGACTAAGGGGGAGGATGACTGAGAAGGAGGATGAGGACGAGGACGATTATGATGAGGACAGAGGATGAGGACTGATGAAGAGGAGAAGGAGGAGGAGGATGTGGAGGAGGAGAAGGAGGAGGAGGACTGGGGGAGGACTGAGGAGGAAGAGGAGGATGACTGAGGAGGAGGATGAGGAGGAGGAGGATGAGGAGGAGGACCCAGGAGGAGGACTCAGGAGGTGGAGGACGACTATGAGGAGGACGACTATGAGGAGGACGACTATGAGGAGGACGACTATGAGGAGGACGACTATGAGGAGGATTGATGGGGAAGAGAAGGATGAGGAGGAGAAATGAGGAGGAGGAGGAGAAGGAGAAGGAGGAGGACTGGGAGTAGGACTGAGGAGGAGGGTGAGGAGGACTGAGGAGAAGGAGGACGAGGAGTCAGGAAGAGGACTGAAGAGGACTCAGGAGGAGAAGGACTCAGGAGGAGGAGGAAGACTTAGGAGGAGGAGGACTTATGAGAAGGAGGAGGAAGACTAGGGAGGAGGAGGAGGAGGACATCTAAATGTTTTGTCTGTTTTTGTCCGTTTTGTCCGCCCTACTTTTTGTCCGTTTTGAAAATATAGGGTACCGAACGGACACAAAACATGATCCCCCAGCCAAGCATGTGTTACGATACAAATGTACTTGACTATACATTTAAGGTGCAGTGTACTAGTGATATTATGGTATGTTTAAAGACCAGACCACAAAATATAACCCGGTACCTAGTGTTGTACTAATACATAATAACAAGTAACATGGAAAGAATCAATGAGCAGAAACAATCGATCTCACAAGAGACCAAAGCACTCGGGTCTGGGAGTACATGATAACTCCAACTAGTAGTGAGCATACTAGCCCCTGCAGTGGAAATACACATAAAACATACTATTGGATTGTCCAATTGGTTCGTTTTCATATAGCATACATAGCATATGTAGGGGTTCTGGTTAAATTATATCACTTCTGAGAGCTTTTAGAGATTGATTCAGTAAATTTCTCAATTTTCCGATTTTTCCGATTCCGATTTTGGCCTCATCAACCCTCATATCGGACATCGGGTTGGACCCCCCCCACAGTTAGTAAAATCCAGTCCAGGTCGACTGTGGAGTTTGGGAAAAAGCCCCGTGTATGCGTAGGTACGTGTGCCATAATAATGTAGTCTTATACTAGTTGAACAAAATAATTATAAAGTTGGGCGGCAATTTTAAATTGAATACCTGAACTCGAAGTTACAATGATTTGGAGAACACTCGAAAAGCCCTAGTTTTATTCTTAGTTTCCTGACATTCAGACCAGAAAACTTAGCATTTTAAATTAAATCACTAAGTGCCCGCAATAGCCCCGGAAAAAAATCTGTAAATTACTTATTTCAAAACGCATATAAACTATAAAGGGTATGATTTTAAATATAAAAACCGTCGCGTCGATTGGTAGAAACTGCTCATAATTTCACACTTTTAAAACATCAAGGCCGGGCCTTATATTATATACGTATTAAATTTAAATATTCTAAAAATTTAAAATTACAAATAATTAAAAAAAAGTTCAGCTTCTGCCATTCGAGTGAAACTCATTAAATACGAGAATATAAACTTAAAATCGGCGTCTTAACAAGGCCTCCTCAGTCCTCACCCCTCAGATTCAACTTAAAGACGCAATATTAGCTGATAAGAGGTATTCCTGGAGTTTGTTGATGGCCTGTCCCTTGACTCCACTCTGGATAAGAGGTTGCAATTTGCCAGGGTACCGCACACTCGCTTTCTTCAACGACTCTGCGAGGTGAACCTTTGGGTTGGCTACCGCACCGGCGAAGGGATCCAGGGGTTTCTTAGTGGCAAAGACAAGCTGGTTAAAGGCAGTGGTGTAACCCGGAGTGTCTTCTATCTCGATAAAATGTTCGTCCTGCGACCAAAAGTTTTATTACAAATTTCTGTTTATAATATAATGAAACAAATGAAAAATAAAGCAAATATAAAATGAACTATTCGTACGAAGTAGATGCATTAGAGAGTTGGTTTAACGGCCTATATAGTATATAGTGGATTTTTAACCACAAAACCACATGGTTGCCACTCTACCTGAGGGGTGGAAGTGTCAACTCCCTCCTCGAACATGTGAACCAGGGCATTGAGGAGCCCAGCCCACAGGCTGATGTAAGTGTCGTTTAACATGGCTGGACCCTCGGTGAGGATCTTGGTTACTCCCACCGCTGTTATCTTCCTCTCAGTTTCACCTGGTGGGAGCGTGTTATCAGAAGGGTGATTTATAAATTGGATAATTGAGTCTGACAGAATTGTTGATGTTATTTAGGGGTCGTTCACACTTTTTGGCCCATTTTTTACCCACCCCCTCCCCTTCGTAGTCAGTTTTAAACATAGCTATTGTGTTAAAATTACACTAGCGTAATCATTTAGAAACCCCCTCCCTCCAGGCTCCACCTCAGTGAGTACGTGATATGTGAACGACCCCAAGTTACATAAAATTAAAAAACGTATCATACTACTGGTGCCAATATTTGGCTACTTACCAGCAATTTTCTGTAGTTCTGCGACGAATATTTTCTCAACCACCATCCCAAAGAGACCTTGCTGAATACTATCAATTGTTTCTATCAAAGCTTGAGCCCCAATCTTTCCCGCAAACAGGGACATGAACACAATGAAATTTTTCATAAACTTCGTTGTCTTACCTGGTTTAGTATAGGGAGTTTTGTTAGGGATCAAAGAACGATTTACACCTCGTATTAAAATTACACAATATACTTCCTCTTAAAATTTATTGAACTGAAAAATAAATAACTTCTAAGGATGAACAAATGAATTATTAATACCTTTCAATTGATAAATTTACTAACTTGACTGCATTCTCTGGAAGAGAAGAGAAAATACGCTCTTCAGGAATGTTTGTAGGACAGCTTTGTCCATGTGCTCCAACATTGTGTTCAGTAGGTAGAACCCAAAGTGGTCGTTTGATCGGGAAGCGATCAGTTTCTGAATTTGATATCGAACTTTGAATCAAGAAAACTCAGGATAAAGTCTCTTTTTATACATAAAATTAAACTAAATAGTCACCTAATTCTATTCAACATACATTTATTAACTACTTTAAAATCGTGTATCATCTGTTACCCACCTGAACAATCCCAAGAATGCTGGTTACGCTGTCCTTAACTCCATCTGGATTTTTCTCGATGTAAGCCTGGATAAGCCGAGTTAAAGGAGGAATGGACCCAGGTCGTTCCCAGAGTTGGGGAGAGAGAAGGAAGGGGAAGAGGGCCATGTATTGGGCTGGTATCGGGCGATTCTGTAGCTCCAACATCAGTGATAGTACCTTTCCGGAGAGTTGGAATTTGGTTAAGTTTTACAAAATTGAAAATGTCTCGTTTGTTAAAGTTGTAGAAAAAGAGCTTGAAATAAAAACAAAAGTTAGAGGCTAGAGTAATCCTAAATAGGAGATTAGAAAAATGTTGAAATATAAGATTAAGAGTATTTAGAAACCTGGAAGACGTAAGGTATGAACTCTGTAACATCTTTTTGTAAAATATCTTGGAATGCTGGAAAGAGAACCGCCTCGAAACCTTGGGAGGAATGTTACAGGTTCAAAGAAGAGGATACAAATAAAACATATCTCAACTTCGTGAATAAAACTACACAGGTTGTACCATATTTAAAAAATATATATATTATATATAAGGTGGAGCATATGAGTTAATCACATGACCTAACCTACCTGCAATTTTCTCAGGTTTTCCAATGCAAGTGCCCCGAATAAGACAAGAGAAGGTCTCAAACACGTAGTGGTTAAAGTGAGGTTTGCTAGGGTTCTTGCAAATCTCGCCCAGTTTGCCAGTAAGAGCTGTGATTAGGTTTTCTACTAGGGGTGGAGGAAGTTGATCCTTCATCAGGGAGACGCTCCTCATTAGCAGCTTCATTAGGTACTGGAGAGTGTTTTAATTACATTCAGTTTGACAGTTTTAAACTAATTGTTAATTCACTAATTGTTAATTCACGCGTTGGATATTTTTCAGATTTTATTGTTAGCGTAAGTGAAAGTACAGGTACGATACGGACTTCATACATACCAATTGGTAGCAATCTGGTTTGAATTTTGAATTGAATTCCTGCCAGAAAAATAGAGACACTAACCTCGTTTTCAGCGCTGCCGTCCACAGAAAATGAGGAAAAAAGGTTAGCGAGGATAACCTCAAAACAGGGCGCCACCTCACCAGGACTAAGAGCAGTGAAGTTGGGGAGTTTGACAATCATGATCTTCTCTATCGCAGAGGCTGCGTAGCTGTGCACAACCTATTCAATTGTTCAGACATGATCTCGAACATACCATTATATTTACAGCGGCATAAATTACAATCTTACAATCTTTTAACTTACTTAAAACATTATACGTTCCAGCTTTGATCAAAGACACCTAACATAATTCTTCATAAGCACAATTACATGTATATAATAACATTAACTTACGATGTTTTTATCCCCAATGAGTTGTGCTAGAAGGGGTATGGTGGACACAGTAATCTCCCTCGGTAGAGTTGACCTGATCAGGTTAGTTTAAGCTTAATTTGTTTATGCTATAAACATATCAAAATGTAATCGTGTAATCATGCCATTCAACGACACTGGACGGTATCGTAGTAGCTGGACTTGAACCGTATCGCTATAAGTTGGGCGGTTTTAAATTCAATTTGATGTACAACGAGGAACCAATAACTCTTCAAAACAATCCGGTTAGAAATAACAAACATAATCTACCTACCTGAAAGTCATGATATATTTAATAGCCGCAGATCGAACTATCGGATGGCAGTTAGGGTTTGTCAGTTCGACACATATCTGGTTCTGATAGAAGTCGGAGAGGCTGATGAAAGTGTTGGCGGTGGTGGCGCCGTGTTTCTCAGTTTTAGTCTTGACAGCCAGGGATATGACTATGTAGATGGCTGCTTCTTTGTCCATCCATTTGTTGGCTGGATCCTTGGTATACTCCTGATGTGATGTACAATAATGTATATTGTATATATATGATGCAAAGACTTATTTCGAAGATCTAATCAACACCGACTTTTAATGTGTAGGAGTACAGCTACAAAATATATATATATATATATATATATATAAATACTAGTGTAACCCGTGCCTACGGCCGGGACTTCACAATCGCAGTTGAAATGCAAAAGTATAAACCCACGTATTATATTCGAAAACACGCATTACATTTTCTTACTTAAAACGGTGCGAAAGTATGTTAACTCACTCTTATTTTTTTCTTGATCGAGGATCGCCCAAAGTAGATTTAGTAAAGTCCTTAGCTCACCATAACAATCGATGACAAATGATGGCCATCAATCTAGGAACCGACCGGATATACGGCTGAATCTGGATCCGGCCAGATATCCGGCTTCAATATCCGGTTCCGGCTCCGGTCCGGTTTCAGAAAATTTTGCCGGATTTTTGCCGGATATTTCTTCAAAAAAATGTATTTCTAAAATCTTGAAATGCATACTTTTCTTCCCTTTTTAACTCAAATCTTTTGAAAAATCAAAAATGTTTTGACTAAGTGCGGAATTCAAAAAACCGAACAAATATTTTCGGATAATAATGAACATGGTAGCATGAAACGTGGAGAAAAGTGATTTCCAGAAAACTTTGAAAAAGTTTTTACTTAGAACATTTTCGGTCCGAGTCATTCTCGATACGTACCTCCTATATCGAGAGCTCCCGCTTCCGACATTGTGTTGCAAAGGGGAGGCCTGCCTTCCGAGATCGCATTACCAGGGGGAAGCCTCGAGTCCAAAACCTATGTAGTATAGAGGAGAACCGAACCTTATTACGAACAGTAGCTCTAGTAATGCTCTTTATCACAATTTATTATTATGATCCAGTTTTGGCTCCGAGTTTTGTGAAACACTGGCAACGGTCCACTCTACCCAATTATGGGGTTTGGTAAAATATATAATAATATGCTACAACATGCAAGTTTAATTACTCATAATTAATATGCACGTGCAACGAGCGGGCTACGGACATAACTTTAAATTGCTTATTACTTTATTATTATAGTTATAGAGAGATAAAAACAATGCATGTGCAAATCGAGCATGTGTTGCAGACCTCTACGATCTGGAAGGGTCAATCAACAGTTATCACTGTAATCACTGCCTAGTGCCTAAGTCAAGCTGTAGCGCGTGGGCAGCTGTTCTTAACTTTTTAAGATCTTAAACCCTTGGGAAATTCATTCGCCAATAATAAATTATTTGTAGGCCGTGAATGAATGGGAAAAGCGAGCGAGCGATGTTAGTCCGCTAATTAACAATAACAGTGATTATACTTATAAATATTTTAAGTAATAATCTCAATAAATCTGTGTGTGTGTGTGTGTGTGTGAAATCTACAATTAAATTCTACTGAAGGATCACATCACTAATTATACGTCACTAATTGGTGACATGATCTGATCACCGAGGGACCCCTAATAATTGGGGGTCCCCTAAGTCGTGCAGCCCAATCGCGCTCAAGGGGTCTGGCAGGATATGCCAATTGCATATCATTTCTGATAATAACTTGTCTACTCTTGTTACTTCTTGTTTACTCTGATTACAACTTACTGCTTGTTGATTTGATATTTAAGCTATGTGAATGTCTACTGCTAGGCCTAAACAGGAAATATCATCGGTGTGGTTGTATTAAATTGCTCTTAGGAATGCAGAACTTATCGTGTAATTACAAACTATTGCTTAGTAGAATAAATATCATAGTTGATAACGACAAAAGCCCAATAATGAGGATTAATTTAAATTTTCCGGCAAGTTCCGGCAGCCTTATATTTGCCCTTCCTAACAACCGGTTCCGGTCCGGCAAAATCCGGCTAACCGGATAATAGATTGATATACGGCAAAATCCGGTCCGGCAGCCAAAAGCCCATCCCGGTCGGTTCCTACATCAATCCCTGGGGTAAGCTAAGGACTCCATTGGGTCTAACCGTCTATACAGTCCTACGGTAGACTTGGACAATAACATTCATATTTCGATCACCGATACATTCACAAGCCGTTATGCTACTAGTCTACGAAGCGGTCTGAGCACGATGTATATCGACCATTAGCTATCTTGAGAACAAGACTTTTCCTGTAACATAATGGCACTTGCACTAGTTTAACACACGTTAAAGCCTAGGCTCCAGGCTCTGTGTTTTCGAGAACAATGATTGGCTGAGTTGCTACAAATGCGACTAACGCAAGAGGGTTGCTTGGGTTGTAGACCGAGCCAGGCACAATACAGCAGTATCTTTTAGAATTTCCCGGGGGTCCAACCCGATCAATTCCGATCATTCCGATCCCGATTTTGGCCTCATCAACCCTCATATCGGAAAAATCGGGAAAATTTAAATCTTCCCTCTGAGGTTTCTAGGCGATATAGGTAGCTATTTCTGTACTTAAATATGACAAGAAATCGATTGGTGGTGGTCCCAGAACTCCAAAATGGTATCTTGTTCCAAACAAGAATCGTTTCGTCCGAAAAACAACACAATGTCGAATCAACTCTTGTTTGACAGAAACATCCACCCCGGTCCACAATTGAAAGAGGTACGGTTGGTAATAACAATCGTAACAAATAGCGAACGCTTTAGTAACTTTTGATTTAAATTGTCTCCACAATTTGTCTCCACAATTTGTAACAGGCTATCTGCAGAAATGGGTAGCACGGTTAATGACTGGTCCTTTCTCAAACTTCCAATCCTCAGTTAGATACAAAGAATAGTCTACACAATTTTCAATAGGGGGGGGTCCAAGGGGAACTTTGGGGAGTTTTGGGGAACTTTTTTTTGGGGAACTTCAGGAAACCTGGGGGACTTTCCCAAAGTTCCCCAAAAAATTATCAATGAAACAAATAATTTTGGGGAATTTTGGGGAATTTTGGGGAACTTTTTTTTGGGGAACTTCAGAAAGTTCCCCAAAATTCCCCAAAGTTCCCCAAAGTTCCCCAAAGTTCCCCAAAAAAATTATCATGCCAAAAAAATTATCATGCTGCAAGTATCAACAAGTAAGTTAAGATTATACCTTATAATAACATACATGTTAACATTAATGGGTATTAATGTATATTAGAGAAATTTTGAATAATTTTGAATAATTTTGAATAATTTTGGGGAATTTTGGGGAACTTTGGGGAGTTTTGGAGAACTTTTTTTTGGGGAACTTCAGAAATCTTGGGGGACTTTCCCAAAGTTCCCCAAAGTTCCCCTTGGACCCCCCCCTCAATAACATTAAAAGGGATGAAAATCACTTTATTTATCAAAATCTTTATTTATCATGTAACAACTTTTCCATAGTACTGGAGAGTAAAACTCTATTAAACAAAAAAATTCTCGAGCACATTTTGAGTCAGTAACAGTAACATGTCAATATGTTACAGACTCAAATGCGTTTAAAAACATTTTAGTAACAATAAATTGTGTAAACTGATGAGGAGGAGGAGGACTGAGGAGAAGGAGGACTGAGGAGGACAGAGGAGGAAGACTGAGGAGGACCAGGACGAGCACTAGGAGGATGAGGACGAGGACTAAGGACGAGGACTAGGAGGATGAGGACGAGGACTAAGGACGATGAGGACGAGGACTAAGGACGAGGAGGAGGACGACTGAGGAGGAGGACTGATTAGGAGGAGGACTGATTAGGAGGAGAAGGAAGAGAAGAAGGAGGAGGATGAGGAAGAGAACTGAGGAGGAGGAGGAGAAGGAGGAAGACTGAGGAGAAAGAGGAGGACCGAGAAGGACTGAGGAGGAAGAGGACTGAAGAGGAGAGGGAGGACTGAGGAAGAGGAGCAGGATTGGTGGAGGAAGACGAGAAGGAGGAGAAGGAGGGGGACGAGAGCGAGGACGAGGAGGAAGACTGTTAAAAAAAAGAAGGACGAGGACTGAGGAGGAGGACTGAGGATGAGGAGAAGGAGGACTGGGGGAGGACTAAGGACGAGGAGGACTGAGGAGGAGGACTTAGGGAGGACTGAGGAGGAGGAGGACTGAGGAGGATGATGAGGAGGAGGACTGAGGATGAGGAGGAGGAGAAGGAGGACTGGGGAAGGACTGATGAGGAGGAGGACTGGGGGAGGACTGGGGGAGGACTGAGGAGCAGGAGGATGACTTAGGAGTAGGAGGAGAAGGAGGAAAAGGAGGAAAAGGATGAGAGGGAGGAGGAGGACTGAGGAGGAGGAGGGGGAGGACTTAGGAGTAGGAGGAGAAGAAGGAGAAGGAGGACTGGCGAGGAGGAAGACTGACGAGGAGGAGAAGGACTGCGGAGGAGGAGGACTGAGGAGAAGGACTGCGGAGGAGGAGGATAAGGAGGAGAACGAGGAGGAGGATGAGGAGGACTGAAGAGGAGGAGGATAAGGAGGGGAATGAGGAGGTGGAGGAGGACGAGGAGGAGGACTCAGGAGGAAGACTGAAGAGGAGGATGATGAGGATGAGGACTGAGGAGGAATACTGAAGAGGACGAGGACTAAGGACGAGGAGGAGGAGGACGACGACTGAGGAGGAGGAATGATTAGGAGGAGAAGAAAAAGGAGAAGGAGGAGGAGGAGGAGGAGGAGGAGAAGGAGGAGGATGAGGACTGGGGGAGGACTGAGGAGGAGGATAAGGAGGAGGAGGACTAAGGACGAGGACGAGGACGATTATGAGGAGGACAGAGGATGAGGAGGAGAAGGAGGAGGAGGACTGGGGGAGGACTCAGGAGGAAGAGGATGATGACTCAGGAGGAGGATGAGGACTCAGGAGGAGGACTCAGGAGGTGGACTCAGGAGGTGGAGGAGGATGAGAAGGACTCAGGAGGAGGAGGACGACTATGAGGAGGACTGATGGGGAGGAGAAGGAGGATCAGGAGGAGAAATGAGGATGAGGAGGAGGAGGAGGAGAAGAAGAAGGAGAAGGAGAAGGAGGAGGACTGGGAGTAGGACTGAGGAGGAGAAGGGAATTGAGGAGGAAGGTGAGGAGGACT